CCGGGTAAGAGTTTAGGCGGTTTGAATTATTTCTTTTTGTTCTGGTTAGTGCTTTTTCTAACGAGTTGGTTTATCTACGTGATTTGGTCGGCCAACTCTACTCCTTTCTTTTATCCAGTAGTGAGAACTAGTGATAGGAAGTGAAGTAGTCGAACGTGTAGACCGCTTCATGTATCTGGGGAGTCTCATCAGTGCTGATGGCCTGGTGACTGGCGAAATCTCAGCACGGATACAGAAAGCGCTATTAGCTTTTGTCAACCTGCATCACTTATGGCGTAGGCGAGATATCCGTTTGGTGACTAACGGAAGAGTGTACTGTGCAGTAGTTCGCTCCGTCTTACTTTATGGCTGTGAAACATGGGAAGTGAAAGTAGAAGACATTCGTCAGTTATTGGTTTCGATCATAGGTGTCTTTGAAGCATTGCTCGTATATCATGGCACACCCACGTGAGCAACACTGTTATTAGGAATCGGGTGCTAGGTAAGAATGGCACATCAGTAGATGAAGCATTGAAACTCCATCAATTGAGGTAGTTCAGAAATGTGTTGCGTATGCCTAACCACCGACTGCCTCGACAAGCTTTGTTTTGTAGTGTAGGTATATGTTGGAAGAAAGCTAGGGTTGGCCAGACCAAAACATGTCAGAAATCCATGAAGTCACTGACAAGTGGACTTAGCCATGTCGGTAGTTGTCGACTACCTGGTTGGAGTCCGCGAGACGAAAGTCATCGTTGGTTAGAGACTTTGAACGACATGGCTCACAATCGTTTGCAATGGCTCAGGTGCATCCACTGTTTGTGTTTTCTCTAATTCTAACTCCCTGAATTCCTTATAATTTCTACCTTACTCTTTCTGAATTTATCTTACTGAATTATACTTCTCGAATCATATCTTCGCTACTTAATCTTCTGCATTACTGCTAATACTTCTATTATTGCTATCACTCTTGGATTTGAAGTGACGGCGGCGTCTCTGTGCTACTGTGGTATGGCAACCTGAACTGATGTACTTACGTAAGAAGTTCTGTGTTGTATCTGTCCGTCTGTCTTATCCAGTAGTGAAACCGGCAGTAACCGAAAAAGGGCTCCAGGTGAAGTTATATATAACGACAGGTAAGTGCGAATAACCTCCACGCTACCATGCTATCCATAAATCACAATATTCCGTTAAACTGAAAATAAATATCATCAAAGTGTGTATAAGCTTGAAGTATTGAAAACTGGACTGAAATCTTACGATGAATATCAACACTGTGATTAGTACATAGCTATGCAGTTGAATGGTTAGTTTTGAAATGGAATGAAATTCGTGTCCTTGATTCCTCAGCTAATCAAAAATTTCACATATATATTACAGAAGCATTCATGGAACATTTCCCTTTCTAAACAGAACACTTATAAATTCACCCATATTTACTAAGAAAACTCGTTCAATATGGGACTAGTTGAGTCAATGAAATGATGAATAAATCATCGTCAGACCACCTGGAAGTACCGAAAGATAGACAGCGTTTCCGTTCTGGTATGTGACTCATCAGCAGTTTGCATTCACCACTCTCACTACTCTCTGGATTTAAACCCAAGACCTTTGGTCTTGCTCGCGAACTCAACCTGTGGATCACTTAGCCGGTATCCAACGATGTCGCACGGTTTCAATGTTAAACGATGACCTCCATAATACCATAATGCAAAATCAACAAATGTGCACATTAGTGTCTAGCTTCCTGAAGAAATTCTCAGAGTTCTAGTGATAAGCTGTGACTAGTGGAGGCAGTTACCCTCCGAAGGCAATGGGTAAGGTTACGCGAAATCCTTACATTGATCAGAGTTAGACATTAACGCTGTTAGATGCCGGCTCAGTGGAGTAGAGATTAAGCATTCGCACGTAAGATTGAATGTTATGAGTTTGAATCCTGCAAGTAGTAGTGTTGTGCACGAAAAGCCAGGTGAGGACATCAACAATGAAATAGAGCGAATATTACGTTAGGCATATTTACAAAACCTTCCCGTGAAATCATCATTTGCAAATTAATCCTTATTTGTTTCAGATTTCAGTGTTCTTTCATTTAGACTGTTCAGACTTCAGTTCACTTTACGTTATTACCTACAAATCGCTTTCTGTTCTCATTCTTTCCTTCTCGATCTTTTTTGCTGTTAGAAGTTTTATTTCCATTTAATATCATATACTACTTATGTGAACATAAGTAGCGTACACCACAGTAGTAGTAGTAGTGGATGCCAATAAGTAGTCCCATACTGAGACGAAAAGGCCTGCCTCCAGTATTTCCAGGTTTTTAATGTTTGATCTGAAAATGACTGATGCATACTTTTAAAGTAAAACAACAATCTCCTAAATACCATAATGCGAAATTATTATTACTATTATTAGCAAACATTTAATATAACAATAATCAACTGATTAAAATAGTATACCAATTCATGATTAAATTCAAATTTTACTCACAATTTTCAATTGTAAATGATTTCAATTTGATTTATTAAAACTCATCATGTATGAATGAGTTCAGTTTTTTTTTAAAGTAAACATCTAAAAACGATTTACTATAAATCAAAGAGTTTTGTCAAAATGTTTATTGATTTGCTTTGAATGATGAATGAATAATGATCAACTGTAATGATATTAGACAGGTTATATAATACGTACTACAGATGACTGTGAGACAGTCAATTGAATGAAACTTACTATCGAATATCAAGTACCTTGACTATAAGAAAACATTTGATAACGTGGACATGATCACACTATGGAAGTGTGTTGGAGATACTATAATGTACCTGAGAAGATGATCAACATCATATGGAATTCTTGTGATGGATTAAATTGCAAAATCATGCATACAGGATAGATAGCTCACAGATTTATATCAGCTGAAGACCATTATCAGACCAGGTTGTTTACTTTCAGCCTTTCGCTTTCTGTTGCTGGTCGACTGGATTATGAAGATATCAATCAATGTCTTAAGCTAAGCGATGGAAACAGTGAACAACTTGGATGCAGTTAGAAAACCCGGACTTCGTAGATGATCTAGCTCTTCCATTCTTCACACAGCAACTAATGCAGGTGATGACCAACAGTGTAACAGCAACCTATGTGGTAGTAGGTTACAAG